CCCCCCCCCCCCCAAAAAAAAAAAAAAAAAAAAAAAAAAAAATCAAGGTTGGCAATGTTTTTGGAGGCCTATAGTTATAAATATAAAGCCAACATCCACCTAGGCAGAACTTCTTACATAATTCTACATGGTGCACTGAAACTGCAAGATGGCCTCAGGATTCCTGCCTTGTTCTCAGTGTTGTTCCTTTCCTGGCAGACTCCAGGATCTGAGAGACATGTTTAAAGAAACAAGTTACGGACATATTAGGAGGAACATATGAGAAAAGAACAGATGAAAGGTACTCTCTTGCTCACACTATTTTAAGACATGCTTTAAGTCAATGAAAAGGTGGAAACTGCCAAAAGTAACTTTGAAGAAAAATGAAAGAAATCTTAAACAGCGAACTCAAGAGAAGAAAGATATTTACAAAGGTTTGTGTTTCTAGTCCAAGATGTTTCTTACACTACCTGCCTATTAAACTCTGTGGCCTGTTTGGTCCTCTGTGAAATACAGGGCGAGGACTCTGTATGCTCTCTAACATCTGCTTCAGATCTGGGTGTTGTACACACCCATGAAAAGGAACAGTGGTGTTGGCAGCACTACTACTTGCTGCAAAAAGAGTGTGGTGGAAATATTTCAGATGAGGGAGGTCCAGAGTAATTCCTACCCACTAATACCAGAACTCATAAACCCTCTCACCAACTTCCCAGTTGCCTCTCTTTACTTTTTTTCTTGTCATACGGACCTAGGGAAAAGAATTCACAATTCCGTTTTAGAAAAACAGTAAGTCCTACTTTCCTATTAAGTAAAATCCTTACCATGACTAGTCTGTCTGCAATTCAATAGCCACATCCACAGCTCACCATGAGCTTTAACTCTAAAAGGAAGTACATTAGTATTAACCCTACAGAAGAGTATTTGAAAACTGCCTGTTGACCCAATAACCTACTTTCCTACACTACTCTAGCAAAGGTGAAAAATAAACAGAATTAGAAAACTGTAACTATATATTAGAAAGGTGTGTTAACCACTTATTATAGTATAAAGACTTAATAGTTCTTTTTAATACTCCTTTATCTAATTTCTCAATGAATTCACAGCATAAAGAGGTAAACTGTGACATCAAAAATATAAAAAGGGAGAAGTAAAAGGGTAGAAAATTTATAGGCAAATGACGATAACGTGCTATTTTATCTATGGTATGTTTTTTATAAGCCACATGGTTACCACAAAGCAAAAATCTAAAGTAAAGTTATGAAACATAAAAAAGAGAGACTGAACAAATTACCATGGAAATCCATCACTTTACAAAAGTAAGTATAGAGAAAAGAAAAAATGGAGATACAAAACAACCAGAAGGCAAACAATAAGATGGCAGTAGTAAGTCCTTATACATCAATAACCACTGTAAATATAAATAGATTGAATTTACCAATCAAAAGGCAAAGAGTGGACATATGGATTAAAAAACAAAAGACCCAACTATGTGCTACCTATTGGAAACTCATTTTAGCTCTAAAGACTCACAGCTCAAAATGACGGGATGGAAGAGGATATTCCATGTGAGTAGAAACCAAAACAAAGTGACTGTAGCCATACTTATATCAGACAAAATACTTCCAAGCCAAAAACAATAACGAGAAAAGGTACAATTGTAAATACATATGCAGCCGTCACTGGAACACCAAAATATATTAAGCAAAAACAGATCTAAAGAGAGAAAGAGACCATACAATAATAGTAGGGGTCTTCAATACCCCACTATCAGCAATGGATAGATCATCCAGACAGAAAATTAACAAGGAAATGTTAGAATTGAACCACACTCTAGAACAAATCAACTTAACAGACATATATAGAAAATTATATCCACTAGCCACAGAATATATATTCTTGAGAGCACAGGGAACATTTTCCAGGATAGATCATATGATAGGGCACAAAACAAATCTCAGCAAATTTAAAGATTGAAATCATAACTATATTTTCAGACCACACTGGTATGAAACTAGAAATCAACAAGAGGAAAACTGAAAATTTACAAATATATGGAAACTGAACAATCATTGGGTCAAAAATCAAATGGGAAATAAACAATCACCTTGAAAATGGAAATACAACATATCAAAACTTACGGGATGCAGCAAAAGCAGTTCCGAGAGGAAAGTTTACAGCAACAAATGCATATCGTAAGAAATTAGATCTCAAACAACCTAACTTTACATCTCTTAGGACTAAAAGAACAAAAAAAAAATCAAGCCCAAAATTAGCAGAAGGAAGGAAATCATAAAGATCAGAGTAGAAATAAATGAGAGACAAGAAAAAGAACAGAAAGGCCCAACAAAACTAAAAGCTGATTTTTTTGAAAAGATTGAAACTGACAAGCCTTTAGCCAGATTAAGAAAAAGAAAGACTCAAATAAAATTAGAAATGCAAAAGGAGATATTAAAACTGTTACTACACAAATTCATGAGACCACAAGAGACTATTATGAACAATTATATGCTAACAAATTAGATAACCTAAAAGAAATGGATAAATTTCTAGAAACACACAATCCACACAGATAGAATCAGAAAGAAATAGAAATCTGAACAGACTAATAACAAAGGGACTGAATAGTAATGAAAAACCTCCCAGCACAGAAAACCCCAGGATAAAATGGCTTCACTAGCAAATTCTACGAAACATTCAAAGAAGAATTAACACCAATCCTTCTCAAACTCTTGAGGAGGGAATACTTCCAAACTCATTCTACAAGGGCACAATTATTACCTTATTACCAAAGACAGATAAGGGCACAAGAAAACTGTAGACAGTATCACTGATAAATACAGATACAAAAATTATCAACAAAAATTAGCAAACTGAATTGAAGAACGCATAAAAAGGATTATACACCATAACTAAGTGGGATTAATCCCTGGGATGCAAGGATGGTTCAACATAAGCCCACTCTCGTCAGTCTTATTCAATATAGTACTAGAAGTCTTAGCTAGAGAGATTAAACAAGAAAAATAAATAAGTCATCCAAAACAGGATTATCTGCAGACAATATGAGCCTGTATATAGAAAAATCCCAAAGATTCAACCAAAACACTGTTGGAACTAATCGACAATTTCAGTAAAGTTGCAGGATACAAAAATCAACATACAGAAATCAGTTGCATTTCTATACATCTAAAAAAAGAAATAAAACTTTCCCATTCACAGTGGCATCAAAAACAAAAAAATACTTAGACTACATTTAACCAAGGAAGTGAAAGATCTGTACAATGAAAACTACAAGACTTTGCTGAAAGAAACTGAAGACATAAATAAATGGAAAGACACCTGTGCTCATGGATTAGCAGAATTAATACTGTTAAAATATTGACACTGTCCAAAGCAATCTATAGATTCAATGCAGTCCCCATCAAAATACCAATGGCATTCTTCAGGAAATGGAAAAAACAATCCTAAAAATTATATGGAACCACAAAAGACCCCAAATAGCCAAAGCAATCCTGATTTTTAAAAAAATTGGAGGTACCACACACCCTGATTTCAAAATACACTACAAAGCTACAATTATAAAAACAGTATGGTACTGGCACAAAAATAAACACATAGACCAATGGAACAGAAAAGAGAGCCCAGAATTAAACCCCTGCTTGGACAGTCAGCTAATATTTGATGAGGGAACCAAGAGCACACAATGGGGAAAATATAGTCTCTTCAACAAGTGGTTTTGGGAAAACTGGAAAAAAACATGCAGAGCAAGGAAACTGGACGTCTTACACCACTCACAAAAATTAACTCAAAATGGATCAAAGACTTAAACATAAGATCTGATATTATAAAACTCCTGAAAGAAAACATAGGGAAGACGCTCCTCAATATTAGTTTTGGCAATGATTTTTTGGGGGATATGACACCAAAAGTAAAAATACCAAAAGGAAAAAATCAACAAATGAGACAGACTACATCAAATCTAAAAGATTTTGCAAAGCAAAACAACAAAATGATAAAGGCAATCTAATGGGAGAACATTTTTGCAAACTGTCAGATAAGGGGTTAATATCCTATATACACGTGTGTGTGTGTGTGTGTAAAAAACTCATACAACTAATAACCAAAAAAATCCGATTAAAAAATGGGCAGCTCTGACTGGGTAGCTCAGTTGGTTGGAGTGTTGCCCCATACACCAAAAGGTTTTCAGGTTCGATCCCCAGTCGGAGGCATACGGGAGGCAACCGATTTATGTTTCTCACATCAGTGTTTCTCCCCCCACCCCCTTCCTCTGTCTAAAATCAACAAACATATCCTCAGGTGAAGATAAAACAAAATGGGCAAATGAACTAAACAGACATTTTTCCAAAGAAGACATACAGATGGCCAACAGGTACATAAAAATGTGCTCATCATCACTAATCAGGGAAATGCAAATCAAAACTAAACTGATAAATAGAGATATAGAACCATGGAGCAGTCAGACGAGTTTCAGATGGAAGTGTGGAGATTAATCAAATAACTTAGATGCATATATGCATGACCTATGGGCACAGACAATAGTGTGGAGAAGGCCTGGGAGAGCAGGAGGGATGCAGGGTGGAGGGGATCAATGGGGGGAGGGGACATCTGTAATAGTTTCAACAATAAATTTTTTAAAAACTACAATGAGATATCACCTCTATACCTGCTTGAAAGACTGTCATCAAGAATACAAGCAATAAGTGCTGGCAAGGACATGGAGAAAGGGAACCCTTGTGCACTGCTGGTGGGAATGTAAATTGGCACATCTACATCCATTGTGGAAGATATGGAGGTTCCTCAAAAAATTAAAGGAGAACTGCCTTATGATCCAACAATTCCACTTCTGGGTATTTATCAGAAGAAAGTGAAAACACTAACTCGAAAACAAATGCACCATCATGTTCACTGCAGCATTATTCACAATGGCCAAGATACCGAACAACCTAAGTGTCCATAGACAGGTGAAAGGATGAAGAAAATGTGCTACACGTATACAGTGGAATACTATTCAGCCATAAAAAGAAGGAAATCTTCCTATTTGTGACAACATGGATGAACCTGGAGCACATTAGGCTAAATGAGATAAGTCAGAGAAAAACAAGTACTGTATTGTATCACTTATATATAGAATTTTTAAAAGCCAAACTTGTAAAAGCAGAGAATTAAATGGTGGTTACCAGGCAATAGGGGTGGTAAGATAGGACAGATGTTGTTTAAGGGTACAAACTTACAAGTGGTAAATTAGCCCGAGATATAACGCGCACTACAGAAATTATAGACGACAATGTTGTATTAAAATCATCCAACTTGCTAATACTAGAATTATTCCAACTACTAAAAAGGATAATTATGTAACATGATGGAGGTGTTAATTATAGATACAGTGGCAATCATATTACAATACATAACTATCAAATTAACATGTTGTACACCTTAAATTTGCATAATGTTATGTGTCAAATATATTTCAATTAAAAAAAGTCAAGACTGGAAACCAACTGGTGTCCATATAATTAAATCACTGAAAATTAGATAACTAGATCCCAGTTTAGAGGATGGCATAAAATTCCTGTCTTTATGAAAAGAGTTCATTCGTTTTCAATGATTTGGGGGTAAAAACACTTGGAGAAAATGAACTATGTTCTGAGTCACTGCTTTCATACCTCAAACCAGACCAGAGACTATTTCTGCCAAGTGTAGGTCTCCTGCTTACACAACCTCAAAGGTTTTGTCATTATCCACCTATAGCCCAGGAATAGTTTATTCTGCCTGTTAGCCATTAGCATCTTTGATATGATTAACAAACACTAATTGCTATTTGCACATGCTCATTTGATGTTTAACTTGTTATTTTCTATTCAGGGTAAAATAACTGTCTTGAAAATAGTTTTTAATGCTCAGCCACAATGAATGGGAGATGTCAATCAAGTATAGTACTCCCAATATTGTAACTGATTTGCTATTCATTGCTGCTTTATTAACATACTTCATTCTTCTTTCTCTTTAGGAAATAAATACACTGAAAGCAGATAATGATGCTCTAAAGATCCAATTGAAATATGCACAGAAGAAAATAGAAAGCCTCCAACTTGCAAAAAGCAATCATGTCTTAGCTCAGATGGAACAGGGTGACTGTTCTTAGCCCCCAAACTCCAGGACCACAATCTGTAGATAAGTGTATCAGAGATCTCACTTCCCAAACCAATTCACACAAAGAGCCCCAGGAACCTTAAAGGGACCAGCCTTAAAGGGTACTTTAAAAAGGAAAAGCTAGTCAGTCTCCCCCCACCCACCCCAATGTGTGTGACACTGTTTTTCCCTTCTAGCCAGTTGAATCAAAGGAGGAAAACTGAAGAATGCAAACTCTTTCCATTCATACCACAAACTTTTCTTCCCTGAGACTAATGGCAAAAGCATGATAATGTGACTATAGTTTTCTGACAAGGTAGCTTCTCCTATGTGGCCTGCCCGGCTGCTGCCTCCTTAGAACTAAAATCCCTGGTAAATGAATTTGCTTCCTTCCCCGGGGTTTTCTGTGAACTGAGGGATTTACTTTGTTCCATCCAAAGCTTAGTTATAATATTAAAGTAGATTCACTTCCTCTACATTCCAGCATTCTTTATGAATCTGGTTCCCAATTCACTACCTCAAATCTAATCAATTAGCCTTTCCCCTGTCCTTCCTCACAGCACTCATACACACCAGGATATCTATCTAGAAATGAACTTCTAGAGATATAGGCACAAATTGTGGGGGCCTAGTCAACCAGATGACATTATCCAGTTGCAGATCAACTCGTCGTTTTAGTCTCAAAGTCGTAATAAAATAAGTAATCAAATTAAATGCCTGAAAACATGGCTATTATCATCTCATACATGACTGGATAAATAGCTAAAATAAACATAAGGCAAACATGATGTTTGTCTTCATATAATCTACAGTGGATAGAATTAGGACTTTATGGCAATTTTTTTTAAAGTCTGTTTAGCTCTTTTTTTTTAAAGTAACTATTTTTGAGCTGAATTTATGCTTATACTACCTTCACTGTTAATACTATTTAGGAATAAGCTAATTGGATCAGAGCCTTCAACAACAGCTGACAGCGTGTATATATGTATATATGTATTATGTAAATACAGTATCAGGCATGCATGTGACCTGGAATTTTGTTTCCTCCTTCATAAAATGTGGAAGCAAATTAAACAACTTTTAGTCATTCACACAAATTCACAGATGTAAAGTTCAGTTTGTTATAAGGTAAAGAATTTGCTTACAATGTAAATTGTATTTGGCAAAATCACGAGAGCAAGCCCTGTGAGTTATCTATTAATGAAGGTTAATGATAAATGGACTCATTTAGCTCACTGGGTAACTGTTCACAAACTCCTTTTTCAGACTCTGTCTCTAAAAAAATTCATATGATCATTTTCTTTGGGCGGGGGGGACACTTACCTTCCATGCTTGGAAAGCCTGGTACCAAACTGACTTGAAATTCATAAACAAGTTGGCCTGCATATCAAGAACATAACCCCAACCATTAGATGTTCCAAACCTAAAGCCAGCAACACCAAGTCTTAATCAGAATGCAAAGTACATATACAGTGTAGCTTCCCTGGAGGATTCAGACCATTAAGACTAGTTCCCATTTGCATACCTCCTGGTACTGAGCTTTAGTAATAAAGCTAGTGACTAGTTTTCCGTTATGTTTTAAAGAATCACTTTACACACAGACTTACCCTTTCCTAAGTCCAAACTCAAAAATCCCACCATCTGGTATGTAAACTTATAGAAGCTACTGTACTTTGCTACTTACTTTATAGGGAACGACATGAGTTTATGATAATCTTTTTAAAATTCATAGTCTTGGCCATTATTATTTTCCTCTGATATAAACCAAAAATAGTACAGCTCAATTTTTTTTAAACATAGCCATGTAACAATTTTTTTTTTCATTTTTCTTTCCCTCAACCAAAATACAGATTCCAGGTTAGTTTCTACATAACAAATCTGTAATCTATAGGAATTCAAAAGGTCAGTCCCCTAATTAGTCAAATTAACAAGGCTAGAGGGTCACAAGCATTCTGGAACTTACCACTGAAATGGACAGGAAGCAGTAATTTCACAGGTTTTTACAGCCCAGCTAGGGCCAAAGTAGTACAGTATGTAAATATTTGTGTGGAATCTACAGAAATCATCTGGAATAGATTTTTGGTTATTAAGCCTAGGATACAAACTTTTTTGTCTTGTACTGACTTGAGATAAGTTTAGGCATATATTTATCTGCCAAAACAATGACAAACTTTGTTAACAGCAATGTCACTTCTCATTTTCTTTAGTAATTGACTTGCCTTTTTACTAGTTGTGAATTTCTGTCTAAAAATGTATTATGTAAAAGAACTGTAAGGAAAAAAACAAATGTATAGATTGTAAAGTTTTTTTATACCTAATGTAAGTTTTCTTTGTGTAATATTTATATGATAAAAGACATTAGGATCCCTATAACATAGATGTGTTGTATTTGTTCTAGTTTGTGAATATGTAGAAACTTCCCCTGACTTTTTACTATAATCCACAGCTGAGACCACTCCCCTATCATACTAACCAAACACTTCTGGAAGGAAAAGCAAAGGAACTAATAATTATTCAGTATATTTTTTTCTAAATATTTTTATAACACAAGGAAGTAACAGTACAGAAATATTCAACCTTTTCCCATCTTATTGCATGATGACTTACAGTAGACCCCCAAATATTAAGTCTATAAACACTTAACACTGAAGGAGACAAATCTGAGGCTGTCATTTCTCTGTGGCTTTGGTCTTTAATGCCACAGTTCTAAGAAAACTAGCAAGTAGAGAACCTTTGAAGCTGTGGGTGAAATTGGCAGAGGATGATGGTTCGACCTAGTGTACAGACCACCCAGAGCAATTCATTTGTGCTCGTGCTTATTTAGTGATTAGAGATAGCCGTGATTTCCCTTGATCGCCAGCCATTTTCTGTTTAACCAGACCAATGAAGAAGGGAGAACATTCCACACTCACTCGGATTCCAGCACAGAATGGATCAAGACGCACTTGGATGTGGATGTATTTGTCATTTTGGCAATTCATAATACTGTATACAAAATAATGAAGCTACTCTGACAACCTGAACCTAAAGAAGAGATTAAATTTCCTCTCCTACAGCCCCTATCCCATTCCAAATATCTCTGTCCTGTGCTCCTTACAATATATAGTATGATTGCTCAGAACATTCTCTAGTCACAAATCTTTTTTGCCTTTTCAAAACTACTTTTGACACAAATACAGGTAATTAAATGTTTTTGGTTTAAAATGTGTGTTTTTTCTATTTAGTGAGGCAAAGATTCTCTGCTCTGCAGAACACAAGGGAATAGTTTCAAAGAAAACACCCGATCCCCTCTTTTGCTGAGAGCTAATGTGTAATGGTGGGTGGTTATGTATGGACAAGACTCATGTTCTTTATACAGACCAGATGTGAGGACAGTTACCTTCTTTAATCCAGAAACTCCCAGTAAAGACTTATCTATAGATGCTGTTAGATAACAAAGACTAAACCAAGGCAAGAAAAGAAAAGGAGGGAAAACAAGGTAATAGGAAAAACTAATGAGAACCAGGCAAAAAGGAATGGAGAGGAAGCACAAAACAAAAGGTGTTGGACTTTAGGAAGCATTCATCATACTCTACATCTGTATTGCCCTCAATGTATAAAACATTTTCACATTATGGCCTTTCACATTAAGGTCCCAGAGTACCTTACTGCTATTTTAGATATTGCTTAGCACACTCTTCTACAAATTTTTACTGAACAAAGATTATCATGAAAATCTTAGCACAGAAGAAATAAAATATTTGAGTCTGGACCACTCAGCTTTTTATTTAAGAGGAGTTTATAGGAATGTAGGAGCAAGTGCTAAACTTAGATAAGATTTACAGAGTCCTGTGGATAATCTAACAGCACTCCTATGAAGGTACAAAGAAATCTTACAGAAATTGTAAACTAATGTTTCTGTCATTATTCATAATCCTTTAGCGATAAAACTTGAAGGTAGTTGTAAACCCCTTCTGTGTCAGCAACTAAAGCTCCCAAAATGAAATGAGACAGAAATATAAGAGTTTTAAATGGACGTTTTGTTTTAAACTAGTAATTCTATTCAAATATTTTACTCCAGTGGACTCTGCTTATGTATTTTTAAAAATTATTTTTCAGAGGTCATAACTACTGATAAAAGTGTTTTCTTAATTATGGAAAACATTCTTCTCCAACAATTACAAATAAAATTAAGTCTCTTCATTAAATATAAGCACATTTAAAAATAATCTAACTTTACAAATAACCAAAAAAATTCATTTTCCTATACTAATTTCTTTGAAGGGTATCTTGAAAAACACATGGCCAAGACTGCAATATATATAGTATTTACTTTGAAAGTTTTAACATTATTTTAGATTTCACCACAGGGTTTACTATAAAAACAAAAAACCTGCCAAATATCAAATACCATTTGTCCACTGGTACTCAGCTTTCTATCTATTGAGTTGGTTAAAGCACAGAAAGTTGTTATGCACAGGTGTTGACCAGAAGCCTACGTCGAGATACGGACTTTACAGTGGGAATTTAAAAAATCTGTGTGGCTCTCTCTTTTTCTCTGTCTACATTAAGAGAAAAATGCATTACTTGGCCCACCTCTTAAACCATTCACAATAGGCCCATGATAAATTCCCCACAAATTTCACTTGTACTTACGTCTTTATGAAACAACCCGAGTAGGACTCAAGCATCACATTCCTCAAATGAGGACAGATCAATCCTTGAGACCTTTGGTCATTTTAATCCACAGACCCCTCAGCTAGTACCATGATTCAAATTCACAACTCTACATCACCAAGTCTTTGACTGCTCCAACCACCAAAACACATATAACCCTTCTCTCACCCTGAGTTTTCCAAATCTAGCTGTGAATGAGAACTACCAAGAGATGCTTCAGCCTACCTCTGATCTATTAACATTGGAGATTACTGCTCTAATCCTACATAATACAGTTCAGTCTGCCATTTAATATTCCGATTATCTAAAATGACCTGAAGGATGATGAAAGAATTTATAGGAATATTTTTTACACCATCATGTAAAACTGTTTCATGTCTTTGTCCCTGTAGAGTAATTCTGACCTCAATCTAACTTTGCTTTGTCAAACAAAATCACAGATTTCAAATCCAGTTGGAAAATACATGAAATATACAAACCAAAAAGTAAACTCAGGCTTCAATTAATGGAACTTTAACAGAAACCTGGGCAGAGGAATCACTATAAAAGAAAAAAACAAGTCATGACAACTACCTATCAAACAAAACTATCAGTCCCTTTCCCTATTTTGTGAAGTAAAATTAATAAATACAGATGAGGCAATAGTCTATTAACAAGCGGGGTCTGTTTTATGTGTCTCAAACCTGAATAAAATACAGGTAACAATCTAAATTCAATCATAACAATAAAATACTTTCCATTTTCCAAGTCTGATGGTAATAAATATTTACATTTTTAAAAATAGCCTTTGCTCATTTTTTTTGTTTTTTTTAAAAAGACATGACATGCTCAAGGGTACACAGAATATGAAAAAAAAATTCATCACTCTAAGAAATCAAATAGTAGTACAAAACAATGCACTTACATATTAACCCAATTCAAGAATGGTATCAAGGAATCTAACATGGTGTTTACTTCATAGATGACATTCAAGTATGTTATTTAGAACACTATGCCTAATGTATCTATCAAGAAGTAAGCACTGCTAATTTTTGTAGTTTTTAATATCTTCTATATCCACCACCACCTCCTCCATATGGATCTCCATAACCTCTCCCACCATAGCCCCCTCTCCCACCATAGCCCCCTCTCCCACCATAGTCTCCCCTTCCACCATAATCTCCCCGACCTTGGAAACCTC